AGTCGGACGCTCAACCGACTGAGCCACCCAGGCGCCCCATTGCCAGGTCTTTTAAAGTAGCACACATCTCATCATTAGCCCACGTTACAGACAAGAAATGGAGACTCAGTGTCTGAATCGCTTGCGTGAGACAAATCAGAGACCACGGAGGCAGAGATGAGACTCCGTCTGGAGGCTACAGATGCCCAATTAATGTGTAAATTAAATTATTATCAGTGATGCTGTAAGGTGGTTATTTATGTTAAGGCTTTTATGTCCGTGTGCTGTTTTTTTTCCTTAGATAGTAAGAAGAATGTCAGTGGAGAAAATTAGAGTCGTGATTAATACTTAAGAATTGAAATTTAACCACTGATTTCCACTTCACTGTTGCATTGTGCTGACTTACACAATTACATCTCTGATTTGAAGTTATTTGACTCTCCAAGGAAAACACAGCAGCCAGAAACCTGCCCTCTGTGAAATGTTCTCTGCCTACTAGGAATGTGAAAAAGCAGCTTTAATTTCTGTTTAAGAATTACAGTTTTAGGTTAAAAACCTCAATCTGTTTAAGAGAAATAGAGCAATAAAGTATCAAAGCATACTCTGTTCCCAAGAAGATGATGCTAAAAGGTGAGCTATACATCTAACGTTAAATGAATTTGCTACCTAAGAAGCAAAACAGAAGCATACGTGGTTATAAATAACAGCTGGTGTCTGTAACCTACCCAATTTGGACCCCAAAATAACTCCATGAAATCGGCACCATTATTCCTATACTTCAGATATGAAAACAAGCTTTGAGAATTTAAATAGTAAGACCAATGTGACACAGCAGAAAGTACTTTAGGAAGAATTGAGCCCAGATGTGTCTGATTCTAATATCTAATTCTAAATACTAAAGTACTCATATACCTAGGAACCTAGGTCACTGCCCAGGAAACACATTTCCTAACTGCTGGGATATTTTTCAACAATTAACTCTGTCCTAAATTCCCAATCTTAAGATTTAGACGTGTCTCTTATGACACGCAAATCGGGTGACATTTGAAGACAAACCCTGCGGACTGTTGGTCTCAGTTTGTCTTTGTTATTGAAGACGAGATAGGACTGTTTGTTATAAGCTATTATTCACCTTTGACAGGAGCTATTATCACTCACAGTGGAATAAACATGACAAATCTCTGTGCAAAACTGATTAGCCCCGGAGGAGTCAGGAGACTCTTGGGTAACTTTCAAGAGGCACCTCGCTGCATTTCATAGTCAACTGTGACAAATGCCATCTCAGAGTCATTGATGGATACACGTCACAGGACAGTAGCTGTCGCAAATTTCTCTTAGACGTTTAAATGACACTGTCCACAGGCAACATCTCCTGTGTGCCCGACTGTGCCTTCCTTCTCCCTAACCAGTTAACCCTACAAGTGCAAATATAAACACATTTAATCCCCAGCAGTACATCTGAACCTGGAGAGATCTGGAATTAATTGCCAAGTATTTTGGTTCCCTTTGCAGCTGTTACAAGTGTTTGATTTGGCGAGGGAAGAGAAAAGGCGCTGCATACCAATTTCGTGAGCCACGGTGAAAGCCGCATGGAGGCCATCATCTTCAATCACAGCACAGCTGCGCTCCGGGGAACATATGGTCCCAACGTCTGCCATTCCCAGGGTGTCACATGAATGATGCCCACATAAATCCTGCCGGGGAGAGAGAAAGAAATCATTAAAATCAATTTACATCCAGAAGGAGCCACCTTGTCGAGTCACTTGCTCACTCCAAACAGCAAGAGGGGGGGATAGGTTTATGGGATCACCTGTTCAGCTCTGGAAATGCTCCAAAGACAGATTAGTGGCATGGACTCTTCTAAACATCTCCTGGCCCCAGAGGGGATGTGACTCAACTGCATTTAAAAAGAAGTCCTGGGATTGTAGCTTGTCCGTTACAATAGCAACCTCGGCTCTCACAAAGAGGTACAGCATATACACAGGCACTTAACGGGCAGGATCACTTTCACATACAGTCATGCTTACCAAAGCCCTAAAATTCTGACCGAAAGTCATGCTAAGCTTATCAGAAGCCCGGCCTAATAATTTATTTTGCATCACAGGGGCAAACTGCAACCACGTGTTTGTGGCAAAATACAAGTGTATCAGTAACTCAAATAGGAAACTAAATTGTAATCCAAAAGCGTAATCCCTTGAAAGATTGGCTCTTCATTTCCAAATGCAGCTGTAATTTCATTGGTTACATCTTCAAAAATGTGTGCATTCTTACTCATAGCATCCGATGCAGCATTTCTCAACCTGATCAATCTGCAGAAAATATATGCAATATATTGTGTTTATAGAAGTGAGTGGGAGCATTTTTCTGATGAGAAGTTGTATAGCTTTGAAAAGCTTCTCAAAGAAAAACATGACATAATCCCATTAAAATGACCATTAAATATGATCGAGTTAGCTGAAAGAGACATCACGAGACAATTTTAAGTTATGAAGCATAAAGAGAAAATATAAGCCAGATTTTGTACATGATCGATCTGTAATAAGCTTTCCCTTAAATGCTATTTGAGTATTAAGAGACATCAGAACTTCTTGTGTTTGACCACCGTTTTCAATGAAAATTAATGAACATTGTGTATTTCCACATCCCCAAATGCAAGATAGTATCCTAGTGAGCCATAAATGAATTCCAGAAGAAAAAAGTTTTTTTTAAATACCATTATAAAAGATGACTATTTACCGGTTGAGATAATAAATATTGTTTCCATCATAGCTATTATCTTTGCATCCCCAACTACGACAATGTCTGGTTCATTTGCTTAATTGAGGTGAACTGGGACATAGAGTCAGATGCAACGTAGACCTTGCACACCTTTCTAGCATACACGGTATGCTAGAAAGCTCTCAGCAGGTTCCAGGAAGTCAGTGCACGATGTTTTTACTACATAACCAACATTACCCACTCCATGTCAACATAGTCATCTAACTCTTCCCTATTTTGCTGCATACAAATCTAACAAAGGTAAAGAATATTTAAAATATATACCCTACGATCTTCTCTCTACACTTTCAGGTCCTTATTGTGTTCCATAGATTATGAGATCCCAGCTGTGATGCATTACATTGTTGCCTCCATGTTATTATAGCTTCAGACAGTGGAAATCTCGGCCAAGTAGCCTTGGTGAATCAAGTCCCCAAACCAGCAATAGCCTCCCCAAGTTTCCTGTGTATCCTCATATGTCATCCCGTGGGATCTCAAATTACAGCTGTTGAGAACAAATTAGTAGCTTTTAAAATTGAAACTGGAACACGCTTTTGCATAATAATCAGTCTTCGAGATAATAATATAGCACAATACATTTTCAATCCAGTTTTTCTCCAATCATCTCAGTCACGTTAAGACCAAAGACTCACTTGTCATTGCTAGACACGACAGGCTTTCCCTGCACACATTTTTTTTTAAACCCAGAGTGACGTGTATCGTCACAATTTGGGGGTCGTTATCTTCAAATAACGAAATGCAGGAATTGTTGCCCCTTCTTACTCCGTATGTCGTTCAGCAGCTCAGATGAAGAGTCACAGCAAATGGAAATGGCCCTCCTGCTTTGAACAAAGTTTAAACTGGATTCTTAATATCTCTGTGTGCTTGTGTCAATTGCTCATTAGAGGCTATCAACTCTCCTTGTTATCCGTGAATTGCATTAAATGCAGTTGGCCCTTTGCCACAGAAATGTGTGCATGTGCCAAAATTGTGAACAGAAGCAGTTGTTCTTTTTTTTTTTTTGTAAGCACAACTGATTAAACCCCTTGATGACATGGCCATACTTTACATAATTTCGTAACTATAATTATGTAAACTGGCAACCTCTCCACTTCATTCACGCATTGCAAACCTTGGCAACCCAGATACAGTTTCATCCCCAAGATTTCGAACGAGAAGTCTGTATTTCGTTGTGATCCGATGTTCATGCCAATGCGTAAAAACTCAACTTGTGCATCAAATTACTGAGAATACAGCACATCACACCTATACCAATTTGTGGTAGAGATTTATGACATTTACAGGTGCACACTTTATTTGAAGTTAGTAGGATTTTTTTTAAATGTTATTTCAGATTAGGAGTAAGGAGACAAGGGGGCAATAGCATCTATCTGTCTGTCTATCTCTATTATCCATCCATCCATCCCTCCATCTATCTGTCTTCTGGATGTTATGTTATGATGGCCCTTTTCATGCAGGATCCAGATCCTATCACCATGGTGTAGATAGCACTGCAAAGGAAGATTAGTAAAATGTAAAAGTTGGAAAAGCATGCAGAGACTTAACAGGTGGCTTGTGGTGTAGGCCAGGAGATATGACTGGGACATTGGATCTAACTCAAAAATAGAGCTTAGATGGTCAACAAGATCGATGAAGACTTGACAAGGAAGTCATTGACATGGTGACCACTCACCAGATGTGGCCGTTTAAGGGATTATGAATGTGTCAGCATCTGTGATTCATCATGAAATTTAGAAGGACTAGTAGCACCCCAGACCTATTCTTGGGGATGGAGTCGGGGGGAGGGAGCCAAAAAAGTATGCTACCTGGAGAAGCAGATGCCCAGAAGATAGTACAAATCCCACTTGACCCACTGGTCCCAATGACCCCTTAGCAAATCCCAGTGGTCAGTACTGGGGGTAGGGGGAAATTAACCAAGAAGACATGAGAATGTGCAAAGAGGAATGAATGGCAGGAGCCATGGGATTTCTGGCCTTGACTGGGAGACTGGCCTCTCATGCAGCATAAATGCGCTGCAGGAAGGAGCCAAAAAGCAACACAAGGTAAGAAGAGCGGCCATCATCACACCTGCAGCAATGGCAGCCCCAATTAAGGGAGAGTTCGTCGTCCAATGGAGTCCTGAGTTAAATACCAGCAACTTCTGTTTATATAAATATTACCATCTCATAAGGGCAAGCATGGAGCTCAAGAGAAGGGCACAGAAGAGGAATTAATAAGCCTCAGATGCCTGTCTGACTTCCCAATTCCTATGAAAAGGGATTAAGATAGAGGAATTCATCTTGCATGGTACATATTTTAGTCTTAAGTACTATTCAAACATATACACCATAATGCAGATTTATCTGTGCATCCAATTCTTGAGGTGTCATTTGCCTTTCTGGCCAGCTGTACAGCAATCCCCAATAGCAGAGGTCTTGATTTAGATCTCAAGAGAAACTGGGTTCATCGGGTCTGTTAGTCCGACCATTATGGTGACCCATGGTATACTATCTCTGTCCATGCTTCTGGATACAACTAGGTGATACAAATATACCGAGACCACGGATCCAGATGCATTGATTCCTAAAACAATTACGATGTGCCCCCAATCTGCTGACGCTGTGCTTAGTGCTGACCCTGTGATAAATACATAAGATCTGATCTCGGCCTTAAGAAGCATCGCGATCTAGTGAGCAAAACAGATATGCCAAGAAGGAAGCAAATTGTGACATGCTACAACAACTGATTTTTGAGGGAATGTAGAATGAATCTGAATCAATAAAAGTGTCTCAAAGGAGGTGACTGATATTGAGGGATGAATAGAAGTCTGAAAGTCTTAGAGGAGGGGTATCCCAACCAGGAAAGACTGGTCAATACATCAGGGGGTGGTAGAAGGCAGGCTCTGTTTGGGGGGAATGACAGGAAGCTTGTCATGGCTGGAGAATGTAGGATTTGTCGGGCGGAAGGCAATCAGGGGAAGCTGGAAAGACGGTGTGGCCCAAGTTCCAAGATGGGACATTTCGTCTGCTAAAGGTAAAGTAAGAAGAAGGGAAAGACGGAAGCAGCAAGCTGGAGGTTAGGGGGAGGAAATGCTTGGGAGAGTCCTTTTGGAGAACAGGAATGGAAGCTGATTAGACACAGTCAATGCAAAGTAGACCACTATTTTTTTTAAGGTTTTATTTATTTATTTTGAGAGAGAGAGAGAGAGAGAGAGAGAGGGAGCTCGCAAGCAGGGGAGGAGCAGAGAGAGAGAGAGGGAGGGAGAGAGAGAGAATCCCAGACTCTGAGCTGTCAGCACAGAGTCCCACACGACCCAGGGCTGACCTGAGCCCAAATCAAGAGTCAGTTTTAGCCAACTGAGCCACCCAGGCACCCTTAACGCAGATCACTTTTTAATTCTAACACTATTAGTCAGAGTCATTACCGAAGTTGTTTAAATGCTTTGAGACAAAGTTCCCTCATCATTAACGTAAGGAATTTGGACCAGGTGATCCCTAAGTCTTTCCAGCTCTACCTGTGTTGATATTAAATGGAAACACTCCAATTTATAGGTGGAGAAATTAAAGCTCAGGGCAATAAGTGTCCAAAGTTGCAAGCCTGAGACTGGTGAAGCCAAAATTTGAACCCGCATCTAAACGCCCCAATTCCTAAACCACCTTCACCATGGTACTGGTAAAGCATCACACATATTTTTCTTGACAGTTCTGTTACCTTTTACATTTATAGCCTGTGCCTGGTCAAGCAAATTCTTTCCTACAACAAATAAGGCAGCATGGTCTTTATCTCTATGGTGTGTTCAGTAAAACTCAGCAATTTAGAAGCATACTAAATGTATAAAAAGCACTGAGAAAGATATTCCAGAAAAGAAGAAAATGGAAGGGCTGGATAAGAAACCTGGACTTCATTTACTTGTACTTCTCTCTCTCTCTCTCTCTCT